GTGAACTTCAGGGGAATCTGTAGAAGGTACAAGTTCCACTGACTCTTAAAACATTTCTTAAATACGGTTTGACAAATAAATTGGCTAATGCATATACATATTTACTGACAAATTTCTCTCTCGACAGTTTAGAAGAACCACCAGTCTCTGCGAAGTAACTATTCTTAGAACCGATTCCTTGATATAATAAACATGGAAACCAGACAGAAGCGAAAAATAACTGTTTGATAGAACCGTGCATTATTTTATGGATTCTTATACAACATTTCTCTATACTGCTGTGATAAAAAAGGCAACAAAAATGCAATTCATCAAAAGTGGTCACTGGCAACCATATGGTGATGAACTCATATCTTTCAAAGCGACTTATAAAGTAAAATATATATATATAAAATAAAAGAAAAAAAAAAAAAACAATAAATTTCATGTGTCTTTGGGGTTCCAAATCATCAGTGGCTGTATGGTCACCATCATGATTTTATTATCGCAGACGGCTGCAAATGATACATGAGACTTTCATCCCTTTAATTTTGCTATTTCATATATTTACATCTCTCAACACCACTTCAAACAAAAGAACACCAAGATCCAAATGTTTCTGTTTTTGTTTCTTGACTCTTCTTTTGCAGATTAAGAGATAGAGTGAAGAATTTGCTCTAGGGGAAAAAAAAAAAGACAAAAGGAAACACCACAGCCGCAACAAGATTAACTCGAGGTCATCAGGTTTAATGAAGACAGACACGCGAGGTTCGGCGAGGGATGAGGAACCACACTGTAATGTTAGAAAACTCCCCAGGATCACCAGCTTTCCAGCACCAATCTTTTACAGAAGATGTGGCACATTCGAGCAATGCCCAATTTCAACACCCAATGAAATTGATGATTATGTGAATGGGCCCCTTTCCAGATATAATTAGCACAGTGTACAAGGTTAAGTGTGGCCCAAGGGTAAAGAAAATGAATATATTGGGAAGCCAGAACAAAAGGACCATCATGTTTAAGATAAGGTTCAAGTTAACAAAGAGCAAACATTTGTAATTGCAGGGTGTTTTTAAAGACGTTGCATATTTTTTAAGAAGTGATGGGTGAAGTAGTGGCTCAAACAGAAACAGTTGAACATTATATTTAACTTTGCTATACCCATACCAGACTCTGCAAATATAATACATATAAATGTGTAATGCTGCACATTTTGATATCGAGCCAATACTAAGTAAATACAGGGTCTGTATTACCAATACCAATACCGATAGTATACTTTTTATTTAAGATGGATACATCATTAGATTTCTTGCATTTATGTGTTTTGTGGTGTGTTCCTTTGAAACATTTTGCTCAAACCTAGGACATAATTTGGATGAAGTTTAAAGGTGTTTGCAAAATACTTTAAGATACCAACATGATTTCTGTTATTTTCTTTTCCTAGACAAAGCAAAAAAATAAAAAATAAAAAAAAAAAATTAAAAAACCCTCATTTGAAAGCAAATCAAAGCAAATTAATTTTTGATTTAGAGTTGGAAAAACTACATCAAAAATGATTTTGCTTCAATTTGCTTTCAAATGAGCATTCTTTTGCTTTGTTTGTTTAAGAATCAATGCCCACCATGGGCCCAGATCCGGATGTGAGAAAACATTATACATCCCGCTTGCCTAGATGTTGTTACTGCTATCATTTTTATCACCAAGTTAAAGTTTGTTTATCTTGTTAGACTCAACCGGAGACCGTGACCTTTGTTTTCTGCCCCCAAAAGGGACATCAGACCTAAAGCCCTCAGAGGCTTTAAAGCCCTCTAAAGGTCCCCACCCCCCACGCAGTAGGACACTTCAGTTCTATTAGAATTGATAACCCTTTCAGGCAAGACCAAATACTCTGGGCACATAGTGAGTAAAGAGGTTCATTCCATCACAAAGTTATTATCCACGGGCAGATTGTTACCATTCATCACGTGCAAGAGATGAAACTCGCTGTTAGTCAAGGGAAACGGCTGTTTCACTGCCTTGCCACAGATCAATATGTGCTGCCATTTTCCTTTCTCCTTTGCTACAAAAAAGTAATTATACAGAAGAAATGTTGACAATCAATAGACTAGTCAGGTAGGGTTAAGGGCTGCCATGGAGGGTAGCAGAGGCTCCTCTGTCAGCTGTCAGGGATTCTCAGGTGGGACGGAAGAGGTTTGCTTGTTTCGGGTTTGTTTAAAATTTATCTAGTGTGCTGGAAAAGTACTTGAGAATGCCAGAAAATATGTGCTCCATCAAATAAAGTTGCAATTCAATCGACCCTCTTTTATTTTTACAGGGACAGGATTTATAGTAATGCGACTTTAATGTCCTCTGCTGAAAAAGTGGCGGACATTAGCCGTCAGTGTATTCATCAGTCTTGCCTTGACATCTACTTTCACTTCGGATAAGTCTGAACTTTATAATCTGCTGCAAGGGTTCAAAGGTCAACAGCAGAGGGTACCAGGGGGCAGAGGAAATCACTCTCTTGCTGGGAAAAATTCTGACATCCAATTTTCAACTTGATTTATCAGTGTAAAGCTAAAATTGATAGTGTGTCATTACTGAGCAGAGAGCTGTCTTGGAGAGATGTATCAAAGTCTCCTCATTTTGATTTAGCACAGTGGATCAATACAACCCTATACTGTTTCAATTTGAGGAGTATTGATTTTTCTATGCTGGCTCTATACAAGGGAACATTCATCATCAGGCAAGCATATAGTATGATCAAACAGGCCACCGTAGGGTCTGATCTGCCTTTTCTTCAGTCTAATCGCATGACTGTAGCAGCTGTTTTCAAGGCTTGTACAGATTATTACCTCGTAGCTGCCTGTTGTCGTTTATGCTGCAGCACACTTTCCTAATGGTGTTTGGAGCAATAAGAACGGCACAAAATAAAGTGGCGCACAGAGAGGCAACCTGCAAATGTCTGTAGAAAAAGACGAAACAGATTAATCTAATTCTTATCCACCTAATGAGATCAGCTGCAAAGACACACTGGTGGATAAGCAACATAAACAAGTCACAAGTTCCATTCAGTTGCCGTCCTAAGAATAATTTAATTTGTGATATTCTGTGCTAATGATAAATATTCTTTGGCATATCTCCAGACAGGATTTAGCAATAAAAAGGTAAAACAGTTTCTGTGTATGAGGATGAAAACATAACCAAGTAAAGGCTCTACACACACACACACACACACATGCACACGCACGCACACACACACACAGTCAGCCATTCACAGAGCCTGGGGGCTTTATATTTTACAAGGGCAGCATAAATGGGAAAGTTAATGTAGCAGTGAATAAGAATAAGCTGCTGAACTGCAACACTGCCTTGAGCTTGTGAGCATATTGCATCATTTTTCTTCACCAGCAGGTTACCATTAAATTTGAATTTGTTGGAAGTTTTGTTGTATCATTTACAATGCACCCACACTCAATAACCTTTTGTTTCAATGCAAATGCTGTGCCTCCGGGTGGGGCTCCATAAATATTTGAACAAGAGCCCCAAATTCAACCCAGCACATTTTTATGGGTTGCTAAGGTTTAGTCAGATTTAGAAAAAAATAATAATTTGCACTTAGACACTGCAAAAATTTTACACTCAAATTATTAGCATAACAATAAATGTAATTTTGCCTACATTATTCCTTTGGCACAATTTTTAAATAATTTGTAATATTTGAACGCTCTCCTAAATACTCAAAAGCTAGCAGAAAAAAATGGCATAAACAAAGCCAGTATATAGCATTACCTACGACATCCAAGACAAAATGACACTGTAAAGCTTCCTGGATTTGACAAACTTGATTTAGGATAGAAAAAATAATACAGGGTGTCTGCAATGCATCTTCAAACTGAATAATAAAATCAAAATTACTGTTTCAGCAAAGTGTTAAAGTGCCATTCCTTTCATTTTTGCTACTGTTGTTCTGGTGCTAGCACAAAGAACAGAAACACATAAGCATGTATGTATATCTGAAAATCTCAATCACACAACTGTGAGCTGAGCTTCAACGTTAACCAGATAAAATATCTCAGCTATTGCCTGGAAACTTGTCAGAAAATGAAACAAAAAGTCAGCTTGTAATCAACACTGGACAGATTTTAGCTTTATCTGTGTGACTGAACGGTCAGAACAGAGAAATCTGTCAGTGAACACAGGAAACAGATTACACTGACAACAACATTCAACGGTGTAGAATTATTATTTAAAAGAGTGAGACAGTGATAATAGAAGATGCTAAAAAGTGTCTAAAATAAGATCATTTCATTTTTGCTCTTTGAATTTCTCTGACACACACAGTGTGACGTTGTGTTGCTGATGTGAAAATTAATAACCGCTTACAATGTTCACCAGTTTTTCAGTGCTGTTCATCTGTTATATTTTAAAGTTTTTTGCAGATAAACTAGAATCAGCCAAATAGCCAAAATCTTCTGATCAGTGCAACCCTAATATATCTGACCATTTCAACAGGATTAATTATACAGTCTTTGGCTAAGTGGATAAGATCAAGCTTAAAGTTTCGATTATAACTGGGTTTTTTCACCACTGAATTTGATGTAGGAAAACCAGAGAGGTAAGTTTCAGAGCAGAAGAGCCACTTGTTATTTTATCAGGGTTCGTAAGGGGACGTCCAGCTGCTTCCATCAGGTGATGTGCTTTGTTTTGCAAAATGTCAACGGAAACCTGGACAATGGCACAAAGAGAGAAACCCCACCCCCCCATCCAAATTGCTTCCACCCATGTATGTAGGACAACTAGCCAATCAACTGTCCCCTGGGGATTAGGCCTCTCCACACTGTAATTGCGTTTGCTGACCCAACTGGTAACCCCATCGAATCCTGGGAAAGTTATATTAACCGGTGCTCCCATCAATCGACTGAAGATCACTGTAAGCAGGTAACTTCTGATGCTCCTGAAGATCAGACCTGACATCGCACAGAAATGGCAGATGTTTAAGACTTAACATGACCCGCAGGTAAAAAAACAAAAAGTACCTCTGGCATGGTACACCCCAGGCCCCATGCTTGTTGGTGAGGATGTTGACAATCTTCTGCTTCAGTTGATTGGCTGTGACATGATCTCTATGCTTAGCAGCACTTATCAGGTGGTCACACATCTTCTCCTCTTCTTTCCTGTCTGCAGCATACTGTGCACAGCTGGACTGATGCACATAAAGAACAAAAGAACAGCGTTAACCTTGTTTGCACGGTGTCCTTTCCCCAAAAAGCCATGCCTGACATTGAACTAACACCATTCAAAAAGGTTCCATTTGAATAAAGTCAGAATAATATATTTCTCCTAATAGAGCATTTGTCACGATGAGCAATGTTATGGCTTCATTCACCACACTTGAGTGCATAAAGATATTAGCGGACAGTTGAGAGATGTATTTCTGCTCCCTTGGAGGAGTGTTATAAATCAAAGACAGCACATGGAGGTAGTTCATTCCCAAACTGCAGACAGATGAGGTTCCCTGCTAGGTAGCTGTGGACGCTGCTATTAAAGAAAAAAATGTTAATAGTCCCGCAAAAAATGGTACATCGCCATTTAAATAGCTACATTGATAATATGAAAAGTTAAATGTCTTGCTGTACAGGAATCGTGCAAAATAAAGAAATAAAGCCATTTTCTAAAGCAGGAATGCTATTAAAATTTTACTTAAATAAAAAAAATAAATCTCTAAAATAAACTGGTATATTAGCGTAAAATAATTTTCCTGATTTAGGGGCAGTAGAAGGGTTCCAGGTGGTTGAAAGTAAACTACAACAGCTCTTGTCTTTGCTTCTGAAATAAGATTGTCTTACTTTTCCACCCTGAGGGGACTCTTGCTAATATTCACAATCTAATTTGCTAACAGAAGCTGGGAGTTAATTGAATTTCCTGCTTTAAATTTGAATTCTGTCAGACACTATACTTCAACATATTCCTCATAAAGCAAATAACTCAATCGCTGCCTGTCACCCTGCATTACCACGTGACTCTGTGACAAATATCAAACATTATTTATCACTTTAAAGCATATGACGCTTCTCCTTGACACCAGCTTAATTGTAAAAATGTCTTATCTGTAACCTGAATCTTCAATCATGGAGAGTGGGTAATAAAGTAATGTCAGCCCCAGATGAAAAGTGTAAGCTGTCTGGAGTTGGCAGACAGGACGGATAGGGCCAGGTACACTTCTCCCCCCCCCCCAACCACCACCGCCCCCGTTCCCTTGACACCACATATCTAGTCGTCTCTTCCAGTTTATCTAGCGGGTCAAGGATCCTCAAGAACTGTATATCAAAAAGCTGCTTGTGGCTGGCTGCTTTTCTAAGATAAGAAACATGTCATTGCTCACATGTACACGCTGTTAACAGAGGTGAACGAAGTGTTTGAGTTGAGGTTTGTAGAGATGCAAAAAAAAAATAAAAATACTTACATTCTGATGTCTTGTAAAGTATTCACACTTACATTCACAACTTTCTCAGCTCTTGTCACTTTAGTACTCTAATGCTTTTTGTTGGGACGTTTATGTGATTTTTAAAAATTCTAAGTGGTTCAAATTGTGAAGAGGGAAAAGAGAACAGTGCATGATTTTGATGATTTTATACCAATAAAGTAGAGAAAAAAAAACAAAAACAGAAAAAAACAAAAAAAAAAACATTTTATTCAGTTGTGTTTACTCAGATTCTCTAAAAGTATAATCCAGTCCAGCCAATTGCCTTTGGATATATTTTAAGTTTTATTTCCTGAACAAACCATCCCCAATGTAAAAAAATGACGGTGGCAGTATCATACTGCGGGGATGCTTTTCTTTAGCAGGGCCTGGAAAGCTGGTCAGTTTAATGAGGAGGCTAAATTTAGGACAATCTTGAACAAACATTAGGGGCAGAGGAGGTTCACCTTACAGCAGGACAAGACTAAAGACAAATCCATGAGAAATTTTGGATGTTTATTTGCAAAAAAAAAAAAAAAAAAAACTCTGTGAAAATCACTTTTTTTTTTTTTTTAATTTTATCCCATAAAATTCCAATAAATACGTCAAAATTTGTGGTTGTAACGTGGCAAAGTGTGGAAAAAATTTAAAGGGTATGAACATTTTTACAAGGCTCTGTAAATAAATTCCATTTTTTGTAACATGTTACTACCCAACTTAGACACTTTTGTCATATTGTGTTTAATCGAAGCTTACATTTCAAATGTAATTGGAGGAAAACGGGTTGAATGCACTCTTAATTGTAATCCCTGGAGTTTGCTGGTCACCAGTAATAAAATATTATTGCTTGGGTATCGCTTGGCTAACGCTATGAAAATTCTAACAGTGAAGAGTGAATCCTAAAAAGAACACTATTACTGAGATTGTAGAGTTGAATAGCTGTTTTGCAGTAATGGAATGTAGTAAGTGCTCATCAGAAAGTGCTCAAAATAAAATAGTATTTTCACAGCAGACAACAAAAAAATCTAATAATTTGTAGTAGCTGTAGTTTAGAAAAGAACCATTAATAATAAAAGTCGTGTTTTGGTACAATTACATGAAAACCATTGATGATGTTGGCATTTAATTTGAGGTGGAATAAAAGCCGATACCTCAAACTCTGCATGTTTGTGGACGTCCTCAGCTCGCTGTCTGTTCAGGATGAATTCAGCCTCGTTGGCAACGCGAACAATGTGGTCCTTCATGGCATGGCACAGCAACCTTTAACATTGCACAGCAACAGACTTTTTACAAATGCAATTTATGAGAGGAAATGTGAGAAATACAGTCAAACGGAACACTCTCGTGTGAAATTCAAACTCGCTGTTATTACAGCTGTTCTGTAAAGGCATCAGTAGTTTGTTAGAGAACATTAGTAAATAAACTGCATCCACCAAGACCATGAAACGCACATTTCAAGTCAAAGCTGAAATATACCAATCTACGACTATCCACCAGAGCAAAGAGAGCATTAGAAGGTTCTTTGGTCAGACGAGACCAAAAGTGACTTTCAAACTAATCTGTAGATTGTTGTAATGTAAAAGGACAATGAAGGGGTGTGAATATAGCCGACAAACAGTGTCAACAATTGGGCTGATTTGTCTGTGTTGTACTGCAACAGTGAAAGTCAGTGATTGAGCCTTATGTACCATTAACAACAAACGTCACCACTGAACCCTGTTCTGCACAGTTTCATCTTTCAAAAGAAAAAAAACAAACAACATTCAAAGAGCCCGCCCGGTGCCTGCATAGCTGAGAAAGCTAATCTAGACTTTATTGGGTGAAAACTTTTTAAAATTTAAAATTTCCCTAAAAAAAAAAAAAAAAAAAAAAAACCTACTTCAACAAATAAATTCACTGCGGATATGTTGGAAGATTACAACCCATTTCACACACCATTAGGCAAGTTTTGTTTTAATTAAAACAGATCTTGTTCTTCTCCAGAGCCTCACACAGATTTTACTATTGCCTTCTGTCCCCAAAGAGAGTCATTAATCTGGAGACTACAGTCATCAGCTGCTCTCGCCTCTTTAGCTGTTGACAAGCACTCATTAACAGACAGGAGTTCACAGTTCAAAGAGAGAAGCTGACAACGTGAAGCTTTGTTTCGAAACCAAGAATAGATGAGAAAGTAAGTTGACAAGTTCCAGTTGGAGATGGAAAATAGATATCAGTTATCTACCAGGTATTTTTGCTACACGCACAAACAGAACAATAAAAAAGCAGAAGACACAAAAAAAAACCCTGAAAAAAAGCTGAAAGTGAAGATTTCACAACTAACGTTTCTATGTTTGTTTGTAGCTTTGAAAAGGCAAAGGTGGTTTTTATTGTTAATGTTTGTATTGATTTGTAACTGGCTGAAGTGCATTTCAGATCCATGCATCTTATAAAATAGCTGCAGAAAGATGACATGCATGGATTAATTTTCCATTGATTACTGATATTTTTCTGTTACTATAAAACCTCTCACAAAAAAAAAAATAAAAACTGCTGAAAAAGTTCCAGATCTTACTTTTTCAAATTGACATATTTAAAAAAAGAAAAAGGATTATAAAATAACCATCTAACCCACCTACTGAAGGCGTCTTTTCAGTGTTTGACATGGGCAGCTGCGTTATGAAAAAGAAAAAAAGGAAAAAATCTCATCTACTTGCGTAATGTGTCTTTGTACATACAGCAGGAACAACATCGGTGTCAGCCACGCCTTGTAAAGCAAACAGATTTACCAGCCGGTTCCTGCAGATCCGTCTAGTTAAGCAGGTTAGGTGGACACAGTCTAGTGTAAGACTGGAAAATTATGCGTCTGTCAGCAGCACCCTGGACAGCGCCGTGTGGCCCCACCAACTGAACTTCTTTGTTCTAGGGCCAGCAGGGGACAGAGAGAAACCTGCTCGGACCGAGCCTGGAGCCTGGGCATGCAGGAGGACGGGCCAGATGGGTCAACAGATGGACAAGGAGGCTGAGCTGCCCCTGATCTACTCAGAAAAACTCTGAGTCTGGCCACACCCAAACGCGGAAAAAGAGGAGGAAGAAGAAACGAACAGATAGAGGTAGACAGCGCAAGAGATGCTCTGCAGTGTTGTTATTCGTAATTCAAGTAAAACAGCTTATTTGCCTTTAGTCCTCACTAAGAGATCGGAGATTTAGGGTTAAGCTACTCTGCTCCACTTAGCTTAACAGCCTCTTTATGCCTGCCAAGAAGAAAATGATAAAACGTACATTTTGATAATAAATGTCAACGTAAAACCGCTGCTGGGCTGTGTGATTTTGAAATGAATGGTTGAGTTACCTTCCTTCGTTTATTAGCTCGATGAAAGCGAGGCCAGCATTCTTCTGAATGGAGTTCTGCCACTCCTGAAACAAACAGAGATAGTCATTCAAACCAGCATAATTGCATAATTACAATAAAGTAAAAGTCTACTATAAAGTCAAATCCTATAATGTTAAAGTAGATGATGAGGTACTATTTTGATCCACTATGTAACTAAATCTGTTTTTTTTTTTTTAAATGCATATTTCAAGTGTAATTTAGATTACATCCCATAGCTTGAAATTCAAGGGGGTAAAGAAAGCATCTAGTTGATATATCCTTCGAGGAAAAAAAAAGTGATTTCTATAAAAAGCTGAAATTCTGCACCACATGTGAGGCAACGTTTTCTTCCTCTGTGAAAAGATCTGTAAACACAGGAGAGATGTAATTGTGGGATGAAATTGTATCCTCTCGCTTAAATACAGCCATTTCCTCCGTCCCTTACAGTGACAGATTACTGAGCAGGCTCAGTGAGCCCTGAAGTGTGCTCCTGGAACGGATCCGAGCCGCGGCCCGGCTGGAGTGCCAGCGCTTGCCGTCTCACAACAGGCTCTGGAAATGATTAAAAAGCAGTTTGAGAGTGTGCCTTTCACTGTGGGAAACTCAGCTTTCCTGTAACCTTTTCTGAGGTGCAAATGAAAGAGAAAACAGAGAAGGCCGCGGTTCACGTATAGGGAGGGGCGGGGGGGCAGGCGGGAAATAAAAAGGAAATCTTTGGGTTCCCAAAGGTTTTGAGCAAATACGTAATTCAAGAGTATCTGAAGATAAGAAGCTCTATTCATGCTCTGCAGTCACACCGAGTAATTTAATCGCCATAAACACTGTACAATAAATATTTTTTTTCCCCCCCAGCAATTTTTTGTGCTTTGCTATTTTGTCATGCTTAAATATTTAAGATCATCAAAATACCTATATGCTATATTAGTATAACAAGAGTTGGTAGAAAATTTTCAAACAATTTCATATATTGAGAAAAAAAAAGAATTACCGGTAACCACAAACTTGGTCCTGTTTGAAGGGTACTGTCCACCTTTTTTAAAACCATGACTTAATTCCTGCTTTTTGAAAAGGTGGCAATTAATAGAAACGGCCTGTTTAGGATCATGCAACAGGACCTCAATCTTATTAAGTCCAGAGTTTGACTAGACCACTTCTAACTAACTTTTATTTTGTTTTTTTTTTTTGAGCCATTGGGAGGTAAACTTGCTGGTGTGTTGTCCTGTCACAACTCATGTGTGTTTGAGCTTAAAGTCTTACACTGATGGCTGACTGTCCTTCAGCACTTTGTGGTAGAGATCAAAAATCTCCTTTGCATTACTGCAGTAATGTGTGGGCGATGATGAGATCATGAGTAAAAGTAGTACCAAACCATCCCAAATCCTAAGATTTGTGACTGTTGGTCTTTTGTTAATTTTCTGAAATGCTGTCAGTTTTTCTCCAGACGTAACAGGATGAACATCTTCTAAAAATTCAGCTTTGTTTCTTGGCCTGAGAAGTCTCCCATGGATGCGAGTTTTGCCGTTTTCTCCTATTTTAGGCTTGTAGATTCTTCAGATGTTATTCTGGGTTCTATTATGACTTACTAGACTCATAGTCAATGCGCTCTTGAGGTAGTTTTGCCAGGACAGAAATTTCAGGAAAGGTTCTCCAGTCCTTAGTGAAAAGCAACTCTTACTGTGTTTCACTGAAGTCCCAAAAATGGCTCGGTAGCTCTTTCCAGACTGACAGATGTTGCTGAATTAGTTTCTGATCTGTTCCTAAATTCCTTTACATCAGGGCTTGAGGTGCTGCCTTTTGGGATCTTTTAGCCTAATTCATGCTGTTGGACTAGTTATATTTACGCAACTTCCTGATTCCACAGGTCTGGCAGTAATTACGGGATGTAATGAGATGAAATTGAATTCAGATTTCCAAAGAATGTAGTTTAGAAAAAGGTGATTCATGATTTAAAAACAAGTGATTACAGCGTCACGCTTTTGCCCTTAGTGAATGAAATCACTTGAAAACTACTTTTTCTACTGATCTATGTCTAAAATGAATACTGGCGTGCACTTCTAAACTATTTAAGTGTGGCAGGAGAACAAACCAGCAGAACTGTAAGTTGGGCAATTATTCGCAGATCTAAAATACAACAGATGCAAAACAGTGACAAACTCTTTACTCTGTCTGTACACGGTTAGCAGCCTTCCTTGTGTACATCAGAATAACTGACACTGACATTATTATGTATGGGCAAATGCTTTTGTGAACAGTTGTCGTGACTGACACATTCTGGTTCATGCAAGACTACACAGTCTGACCCCATGATGCTTTAAGTCAGCGATATGGTGCTGACAAACTGCTGAGCATCTGGGCTCCAAATGTTCTCCATGACCTCCTTCCTTCACATACAGTATCTGCCTAGAAGCAGGCTGTTGTTGATTTAGACAGGGATCATGTATGCCCAGTCGTCCAAGGTTTCCCTCTCGCCACGCTCACGTGACAAAAATAAATACGGAAATCGAGGCAGATGTGACATTCGGGGAGATGCCAGGAAAGTGGCGGCAGGTCAGTGGAGGTAAGGCGCGAGCGAGTCAAATTTGCTATCTTGTCTAAGGAATGCATGTTGACAGCTGAGATAGCACTTCAGAGACTTTCTACTTTTTTTCTCTCTCTCTCTTTTACAAGAGAGAAAAACTTGCAATAGAGGCTGTCTTTGATTGCAGATATTTAAAAAAAAAGTCCTCTGGTGCCCATTTGAAGTGAATCAGGGCTGACATTCTCCCCCTTAAAAAAAAAAAAAAGATGCGGCCCTTGCAGAGCCTGACCAGAATGTGGCGCCTCTAATTAAACTTACTCTACAAAGAATATTTAAATCAGAAAATATACTAATAGTAAAAAAAAAAAAAAAAAAAAAAAATTGCCAGCAATAAAGAACATTCGTATTCTGGCATTATTAGGATATATTTTTCCATTCTTTGGTCTAAGCTTTGAGAAAAAAACAAAATCGCCTAAAATCCCTAAACTCCCATCCCAGTAAACAGCTTTTAGGTCTTTAGAAGAATCACTCTCCTCCCACTTTCATCTTCCTGAAATTCAGCAGGGCTTTAAGTATTTGTGGTGTTTCAATCCAACCTGTCAGTATGTGGGAGCCTTTGCTTTTATCTGCTCAGCTTTGCTCTGTTATAGTCTCCACATCTGGGGGCCTTCCATCAGTAAATCTCTGTGGCTCCACTCTAGAACGCCCCCCCCCCAAACCCCCATATATGTTTAAGCTGTTACAAAAAACAGAGCTGCTTGACCTTTTCATTCAGCTGCCCAGGCTGAGGAGAGACACACCGTGTCTGCAGACGAGGCCAGCCACGCCATGATTGCCATGATTAGTATGCATAAATAAGAAAAGGCAGATCATTAGCACTAATTTATTCATAAATCTGACAGTCCACAAAACAGAGAAGGACTAAAGGTCAGCTAAATGCCCTCCTGGCTGTCCTAAAACATTAAAGCTGAAATATGTAAGGAATGTGTCAAAGCTGGCATGTCGAGGAGGTGTCAGCCAACACTCAGACTGCATCAGAGAAACCTGCTGCGCTGTTTAAAAAAATCACCTGAGATGCTCCCAAAGATATTAATTGGGAGCCTTTTGAGTCAATACATGCCATCTGACCATGAAAAGTGTTAAAATCATTATGAAATTTTGTGCAACTGTTAAATGTTTGGCAGTAAAAGATTTTTTTTACTCCATCAAAAGCTGCAATCAAGTAAATATTTGTTCAAGTCTGTTTAGTTTCTTACACATCAGGTGGTTAAATATGAGAAAAGGGTTATCTGGTGCTTTCAATGATTTTCATAGCCTTTTATGGTCTTATATTCATCTGATTGCCTTTTTTTGTGTAGGTCATCCATGCAGGTCTTCTGGAAAATATTCTTAACCCAAAGTAAGAATATTCTGATTGCTCCCCTAACCTGTGGAAAAAAACCTTCGTGAAGAATATCTGAATATTTCTTCCTCATTTAACCTAATTTTAATTTTTGTTGCATTAGGTTGGTTTTGTAACAAATTTAAGTCATTTTATTTCCTACTCTTGTTTGGTTCTATGCCTTTGTTGAGTTAACCTTTTTGACTATATATTGTGTTCCTCTTTGTGATATTAGCTATACCACTTAATAGGATTTCCTGTGCTTCTTAATTTTTATGTCTACCTCTAGTATCCCTGCATCATTACCACATCTGTATTTACTGTTTCTCCACATGCCAAACCCTCTTCTGTTTCACTTTTTGTGCTAATTTTCTTGCTTGAGACTGAGTAAAGATTACTCGACACACACATAATCACAAGCTGATAAACTGGAGTCAATGTCTTGCCAAATCACCCTTCAAAATGTAGAAAAAGCAGTGCATTTAACCAGCTAGCTTTCCCCTGAGCCACAGCCTAAAGAAGCAGAAAAAAATAGCCATTACAGCATTATTATTTTTCAATCATATTAGCTGCTAAGATAAGTAGATTGATTATGAACAGAGGAGAGTTAGGAGGTAATACCTCATCCCTAGTTGAAAGGCTGTAGACACCCAGCTATATAGTCCAGTTTCAAGGTCTCATGGTCTGATCAATATCTCAGCCTGGGTTTCATCCCCAGAGCCCCTAATGGCAGGAACCTCTGGAGCCTCAGTAATGCTATCTGTTTAAAAGGGGGGATGGACTCAGGCCCTTAACGGCATGCTGACGCTTTCATCTGCAATAAATCCTAGAGCTGGAAAGACAGCTCACCATAGATACTTCACAGACCAAGAAGCATCACAAAAAGTAGCCCTTCAAAAACTATCACAAGAGCAACAATATTTCAGTTCTGGCTGCCCCATCTATGCACTTTTGCTTTTTTATTTTTTTTTTCAGGAAGGCTCCTGAATAATGACCTCCATATAACATAGGTTGAGCTCCCTGCTGCACGGCACTTTGGATTTTGGATGCCAGGGAGCGAGCACAGTGGCGATCTACCTCCTCCAGTCTCAGGCCCTGCAGTCTGGATCCACAGAGAGGCACCAAGTAATGGCTTCCTTATGGGCTCCTGATGCAAGACTGATGGGCTGACAAAAGGTATGTTAAATATCTCCTGTTGTAACTGCTACATCAGGGCTCTGACCTTCTCTAAAACATGGGCTTAACAAGGGATTCAGAGGGTCAGCTCAGAGGTGATCAGTCACTTGCAGGGACATGAGGTGGGGCTCATTTTCTTAAAGGAAGGTTTGGGATTAGTGCTCCCGGGTGTAGCGAGAAAGTCATTGGGTTGTCAGAAAGCTGTATGTCTCTGATTGGCTTGGGCAGTTTGCTTGGAGAAAGCGAACTAAAATGATATGCACATGAAAGCTTAAGCTCCAAGATAAATAAGACAACTTGTTCTCCAAGGAAAAAAAAAAAAAGAGAGGAAAAAAAGAAAGAAAGGCTTTCAAGGGATGATGGGGGGAATATATATATATATATATTTTTACCTGAGAACAAAGAAGCATGACGAGCTCCACTACTGAGGTGCTTGACTTCATACATACGAGACCTATCAAGACAGCAGATGAAAAGAATAGATGTGAACCAGGAGTGTAGGTAGACGTGTTTCAAACAGAGAATCTTTGAGGATCAATATTTGCTGTATTAGTTAAGGCAGAAGATGGTGTCGCAAAGATAAACAATGCAGCACAGACATTAAAATTTCACCTGGATCCGCCACCGGATCTGGCTCCAAACTCTTAGCTGTGTTTCCAATTTGCTATTAAACTATTTAAGCAACATCTGCAACAGATAAGCATTCTTCACACGACCACATCTACATTTACACATTCCGCACGCTCACAGCAGACATTCACGGCTTCTTCCCCCAGCCTCCGTCCTGCAGACGGTGAGCCACCGAAGCAGACAACTCTAATGAAACATGGACAGGTGTGAAAAGCTCATTTGTAGAAACGGTGCCTGCAACTGGTTTTATATTCTGCGCCTTTCTGCTGCACCTGGAGAGAATCATGAGAGGTGCAATCAGCAGTGAAAGTAACTCTCAAGGACTAATTAAAGATGAGGCGGACTAAAACTCAATATCGTACCCGTGATTTGGTTCAAAAGATGGGGTTGGGGTGATAAAAGAGACTACAAAGCCTTGCAAAAGTGTCCATATCCCTTGAACATTTTCACAGTTTGTTACAGCCAAAGCTTTAGAGTCTGTTACCAATTTTCTGTAAAAAGTAGAACAGAGTTTTCAAGTGGAAGGAAAGTGATGGATGGCTTTAAAACACCTATTGCAAAAAAAAATTGCATTTGCTTTCATTCCCCTTCACTGCCATGCCCCTAAATAAAAATCCATTGTCACCAATAACCATAAGAAGCCACTGTATTAATAATATATTTTCTGAGTAAATGCAACTGTGAAAGCCTCAGATGTTTACGCAAGAACGCTATGGAGGAAAAAGCACCATGAAGCAAGCAAAACATCAGACTGGCCAGAGAAAAGGTTGTGAACAAGTTTAAACCAGGGTTACATTATGTAACATAATATTAGGTTCCGTCCATCATCCAAAAATGGAAAGCGTATGGCACAACTGCAAACCTACCAGGATATGGCCACCCACGTAAACCGACAGACTGGGCAGAGAGAGCATTAACCAGAAAACACGCCAAGAAGCCTGTGGCGGCTCTAAAGGAGCTGAGGAGACCCACATCTCAAGTGGGCGAATCTGTCGACACGACAACTGAAAGAAGAAAGCCGTTACTGAAAGAAAGCCATAAAAAGTCCTGTTTGCAATTTTGCACCAGTAATGCAGAGAAGGCAGCAAACAGAAAATAAGGTTGAGACTAAAATCTTTTGGCATTTTTGGGCTACATGCTAAATTGTATGTGTGACACATAGCTTTTTTTTTTTTTTCTTCTTCTTTATGTAACTCACTCTGCATAAACCTGAGACTGGGATGGAAATTCATGTTCCAGAACAACAAAACTCTCTAAAACTCTGCAAGAACTACAATGGAAGGATTTTGATCAAAGTATGTTCATGTGCTGGAATGGTCCAGTCAAAGTTCAGAGGTGGATACAATTGAGAATCTGTGTCACGTCTTAAGAATTGCTGTTACAAACCCTCTCCTTCAATCTGATTGAGTCCTGGTTAACATACAAGAGCATATTTTGGGTCTCTAGATGAGGAAAAATGGTAGAAATAACCCAAAATTACCTGCAGCTGCAATTACAGTTAAAAGCGGTCCTAAAAAGAACTTAGTTCAGTTGGGCTAAACACATACTTACCACACTAACAAGTTGCATTTCTTTCTTTCCATGTCACAATTATGCAATGTTTTCTGTTAGTATTTCACCCATTACCCAAATACATTGTTGTTGTAACACGGCAAATTGTGAAATATAAAATCAAGGTGTATGAATACATTTGCAAGGCACTCCATTCTTAGCTTCAGTTTTGCAATTGCAAAAATATTTAGGAATTGTTTGGACTTCATTGTGCTTAAGTTGAATCAGTGCAAGGAGAAAAAAAATCTGATAAAAAAAATAATCTACCTCCCAAAAAAAGACATTAAAGTTTAAACTACATGTAAATTTAAATATGCAAAAGGGCTAATCTGAGTCGGCTAAATGGAAAATAAAGTAGAGGGAAAAAAGAGGGACTAGCATTGCAATGACACTTTACATCTTTGAAAACTCCTTTTGATTTTTTTTGCAGTTGAAGGTGCTAAATTCATATGGAGTTAAAATGAATACAGTCGTTTTTAATACAAAAAAATAGCAAAATAAAAACGGATTGATCATTTAGAGGTGTCCTTTTCTTGTTCCGTTTAACAGCGGAAACTACCCAAAGGAACATATTGTAAGTACTCTAAGAGGAAGTGACCCTTCTCTTGTACATGGAGTGCCACGTTTGACCCCTTGTTATAGCAGTGACATGCGAGCCATAAGTCAGTCCGGCCTGACAAGGGAGTCAGGTGGCCGACTGACCCTGGCCTTGTGCTGGTAGACAAACTAAATGCATTCTATTTAAACACTCCCTGCCAGTCCTTTCCTGTAAACAGCGCAGGGTTGAGGCACGGGTGAATGTGGCATTGTGGGGTGATGTGGCGGCAGGCTGGGCCACTCAAGGGACAGCGAGAAGCAGGCGGCAGGCATCACAACAGCAGCAGTGTTCGTGCACAGCCCTTACCCACCAACTCCAAGTGTGAAGCTCTTAGTGCACTCAACATAATTGCTGCAGTGACCACGCATCTGAAAAGGGGGTGAAGGAACAGGGTGAGGGAACGGGGCACAGGGGGCACAGGAGGGCTTGACCCAAGGCAATCAAAAGAGTGATGGATGGGCGGTAATTACTGGTAAATGGAGCGCCTTTGCACTGCAGCACAGTATTTCAACTGTGTGCCTGGGAAGGTCCAGGAAGAAAAGTAGAGAGAGAAACAGAAAGTACAAAATCAGCGTGAGCACAAACAGACCGCGGCGAATTCACTCAGAGGTGGCTCAAAACACAGCTAAGCGTTCCATAAGCGTCCAAGTGTAAGTGTGTGCTTCTTATTTCAGATAAAGTTGTTTTAATCCAGAACAGAAAGTGCTTTTCAGAGACTCAGACAGGGTTAAACATGTCTGGTGAAGAGCGCAGAGGACCCAGCTGTCTATCTACGACCTTGTTTGTGGGGTTACAGTCTGCAGCCCGAGATCAGCCTTGGTTTGTCAGCTTGGTCAGTCTGCTGACAGACTGTGAGTGAAAGGGTAACAGACATATTCACACTTGTCAAGGCTTTGCTACCTGAGTTTTCTTTCCTCCCTCTTGACATTGAGCAAGAAGCCTCAGCCAAACGTCAATCCAAGACATCTTCTCAACATGTTTGCGGTGCAACCATGTTGCGCGAGAGTAAAACGTCTGGTTGGTGCAATGTTTGAAACGAGGTTTGGTTCGGTAAAGGGGATTACTTTTCGATTTTCGGAGTCAACAACAAACTGAAATGAAAAAGAAAATAGATTTTAAAAGAAAGAAAATCATAGAAATTCCATTTATTTTAATTTATGATCTAGATAAACACATGTGCTTTGTCAAAGGAATTCTAAAAACGTCAAGGGAGCGCATTGTTTCAGTGGGCTTCACTCCACTGCATCTACTGCAGTGGTTTAAGTTTACTTCTACGAGAAAGCAGCTTGAAAATGAGATAGAATCAAAAATTATTTTGGCTTGTAAGTTAAAAGGCAAAAAAAAAAAAAGTCCACAAATATAATTTGCACTGTGCACACCCAGGCAAACATTTTGCAGACAGAGCGTCGCACATGTGCATGCCGACTGAAGTGCCATCGTGATCTTGTGAATGCAAGCCAAAGCCTGGGGAGCAGTGTGTAAACGCTCTCTCACACGAGTTCATGAGGTTAGGCACAAAAAGTTCCGACATGATTTCAAGCTAAAGCTGCCGTGAAATGGCGTAGATGTGTTTTTTTCTGTGTAATTTTGCAGTGAACAACTGAAACTGAAGGTTAGGGACGATCAAAAATTGTTGGGATACCTTCAAATCCGTAAGCATTACGCACACAAAAAGCTAAATATTTTCATTCATAATGTTTAAAGTTTATTTACTGAGTTGCCAGAAAATAAATGACATAAGTTTTCAATGGTTGGATGTAGAACAGAGCAACACAGCACCACAGGCTTCCCCAACCTGTTGCTGCATACTGGTCAGCTGGCTGAAAGGAAGCTCATACATACAAATTCTGGTAATTCTGGTTACTCAAGCAGATAGTGCAGCTTGTTATCCAGCTAACATCAACTCCCAGTCTTTGTTCAAAAGGTGCATTATTATGAACAGTAAGCACTGCTAAACTATTATGATACATAGCTTTTCAAAAACGTATAATTTTACATAAAAAGTATTTTTGTGGTAAATAAAAGTAATATCTTATTTTTCTTTAAAAAAAAACATTCTTTTTTTTTGTTTTTTAGTGTCAACAATAAGTTTATACCTACGTTTTATTTATTTTATTTTTATTTTGGCCATTGAAAATATAACAATACCTGACTGCTAACCCCAATTTTCTTGCAGCAAGTTATTAGAAAATGCTACAAAAGCCAAAAAAAAAAAAAAAAAAAAAAAAAACTTCTGGATTTATTTGTGTGGTTGTAAAAATTAACGAGTTTGTTTAAAACTACTGCATCCAGGGAGAAAACCAACAAAGAAAACCAAACATTCGTAGGAGATGAAAATATTAGGAACTCCTGCTTGTGTGCAAAAACTGACTTTCTTGTCCAAGGTTTCTGCTGAGGGTGCACACATCGATGGAGCAGCCAGTCAAATTAATACTGTACAACAGGAGGCTGTACAACAGAGACATGAAAGCAGACAGCATTTAAAATACAACAACCATACCTTCGATTAGTAACTCCTGTCCATGGCTGCCCAACAGAGTCCGTGACAGGAAGGGTGCAAAGTCCACAAAGATCTCTCTCAACAAGGGAGCCACCTTCTCCAATGCTCTCTCTAATTTTGTAGTAATGCTGTAAAATGATCACCAAAATATGTATAAAAAAAAGTACAGTTAAACTGAAATAAAATGAACATAATGTAACGTCATATCAAGCTATAGTCAGAAAGACAATGAGCACAATACTGCCAGCAGTTAGTCAGCTTTCCAGGGTTGAGGAGGAGGCAAATATCACAAGTGTGGACAAGTGTGGTTGCTATCAACAGAAATGTCAATAACAAGTTGTATGAATACATTTAAGCAGCTAGCTGATTTATTTATTTTTTTTTAGAGAGACATGTGGCCAGGGCTACAAGGGAGATCACAGTAATTCAGGACTGGAGAAGAAGAGCCGTACAGTAGTCACCGCATGAGTCCGCCTGACGTTATCTGAACACCTTCAGAAAATCGGCGCTCTGGAGTCATGTAGCTGTTCAACTCAGACTGAATACAGGAGGAGATGCGAGTCGAGCCTCAGCTTTTCTCTGTGCTCTTATGTGTACACGCAAAGATATAAAAAAAAAAAAAAAGGCAACCTGAGGAGAGCTGTAGCTTGTTTTCTTTTCCTAAGACGAGCAAAAAGCAGATAGACGAAGAGAGACAGCAAGGCTTGGTGTAGGATTTGGATGGATGTGTAGTGTAATCTGCCCCACAGCCCCAGCTGAGAAAACACAGCACAGGCATAACACATCGGCATAAAACGGAGGATGCAAGCCGAAGGTTTAGGTGACTCGCACAGATGGGCCTGCTTCTCCGTAGGCTGCCTGTAATCCTGTCAGAGAGCTAAAGGGTTTGGGCTCAGAAGGTGTCAGTCCTTTAGGTAGTGGATTATGGTCTATTTCACAAAAGATAAAGACGGAAAGAGAAGATGCAGCCCTTGTAAGATAAAATGTTTCATCAACAAATAAAGATTATCTTAGAAAAACTATATATATACATATAAGAAATTAATTTTTTTTATTTATTTTAGCATAGGCACTTTACTCTCTCAATCTGCAGCAGGAAAATAATATGATCGATTTCAGAGTCTGCCTAAGTGATGTTAGTTACTGCAGCCATGGAAACCAAATTTTTATTCCTCCGGCACAACACTTGGACAAAGACGAACTGTGGAGAAAGATCTTGTTTTGTATGTATGAATGTGTGGAGGAGGGACAAGGTCCTAACCAGATATATGTGCAAAGCTATGCACATGTCAGGCTTGATAAACATGAGTGGGGATTTCTAAATACATATAATCACACAATTAGGATAAATAAAAACATATAAAAAATTCATTACACACATTCAGCTTTGTAGTCCGTCGGTGACACCAACTGAGTTAGCAACACAGGATGGTAAAAAGGTCAAGAAGACGAGTTGTACCTCATATTTTCGACGGTGTCTTCAGGCATGGGGGCCACGGTTTGCACGGCGGGAAGATTTTTACTCGTCGCGCCGTTGACAAAACTGGCGGAGGACGATGCAGAGGCAGAGGCCGCCTCAGCAGCGCCTGCAGGGGAACAAAAAAGTATTCAACATTTATGAAGAGCAGAAGTATTCCTAGCTATATTCAATGTAAATAAACGTAATAGGTTTTAGATGTCTGGTTTCAGATGTCCCATCTGCAAAGTTAAGCGGACATGGACGAACGGATGGATGTTTTAAATGTAAACTTTTTTAATTTTAAGTGTTAAAACCACATTTTAATATCCTAATACTGTAAAACACGAAACACAAAACCTATATGCATATGTGTAGCTCTAATAAAATCAAAGTTTGGCACCCTGTAGACTTCAGCTCAGTTAAAATCATCAGTTTCCCATCTTGTCTGTAGTCAAGTCAAAATGTGTCAAAGATTCAATTTGTAAAAATAATATATTTACTAAAACTATTTCCTCTCCTAAATTACCTTTTTATGAAAGCAGCAATTATCAGGACACCTATTCAAATGTGAAGCATCACATTCATACCAAAGCAGATGGTCACCTTTAAACTTTTCTGACTAACAGGCAACAAACAGGCAAAAGCAGATCACGAGGTCTGGGTGTAAATGGGGTTTTAGCTAAAAGCAAAGCGCATTTTTATTTGGATACATTTCTCACATTCCTGAGCCAGGGGCTCAAAAAGGAGAGGGACGCTTGATTTCTAAAATTAGCACACTGAACTTGTGGGGAAGCTCCAAATGTTTTGGGTGTTAAAAGGATTCTTTGAGACTAGCAGACAACATAAGCCCTAAGGTGAAACCCGGTCACCAGAGAAGAGGGCCAGGAGAATCAGCATGACAGCAAGAGAGGCAGGTAATGAAATCAGGCACATTTTAAATTTGAAATATATGCGTGTAGATTCATTCTCACTTTTTAGAAAGGCTTCAGTTTACAGCATATTACAAACATGAGGGGGTACAGTAATGTGTGAAGAACGGTATTTTTGAAGAAGTTGGTTGTGGACAGTGGAGGATGATTGGGAACCGAAAGCAAAGAGAGCCATCTAGTGGTTTGAGAAAGCAAAGACAGGGTCAAGAGATCAAAATGGCCAGTTTTGTTTCTATTCTTGTTGTGGCCTAAAGAGAATAAAAACATAAATAAATAAATAAAATAAAATAAAAAACAGGGGGTAACCAGGATGAAAAGCACACCTAAAGTGACAATCATCTAAAATTAACTATCAAATATGGAATGTAGATTTATTCAATTTTGTACATGTACTTCAAGTCCCTTTTGTTATGCCCACCGGTGGTGTTGATCATGCTTTTAGGGGTCGCAGAGGCAGCGGCAAAGATGTTGGGGGTGCTGCAGCTCGAAAGCCCAGGGGAGGTGCTGGTGCTGCTGGAGCCCAGTGTGTTGACCGCAAAGCTGCCAGGGGAGGTTTTCTTCACGGGAACCACCACACTCCTACAGGGAACACAAGGAATGTGTGCAGTTCACACAAAACAAGAACAAAGGAGTGCGGACGTTAAATAAATACTTCACGCAGAATGAAATTTGTTTTAGGTTTTCAATCCGATGATTGAAAACCTAAAACACCTAATATAATACAGGAGAGAAAGAGGCAAAACTCAAACTGTAAAACACGACTGAAATATTCACGGGGTTTAACTTATGCCACACACTGGATGAAAAAAGGGCTAAGCTGATGTGCTGAACGTTTTGTGAAACTAACATGTTTAACAGGGGGGAAAAAAACTACTTAACTAAATTAATAAACAAAAAAATGGCCAAAGAATGATTCAATATTTTTACAGAAAACTTTTGTTTTATTTAATTGTGGTTTTATTTTTAATGCTAAAAATTTTTATGTTTCTAATTGCATTTCCTGTCATTCAAACTAATTTCAGCTCTACTTTCTATACACTTCTGTACTTTATCGTGTTTAGTTCAGTTTTTTTCTTTTTTTTTTTTTAGGTTTTTATTTACTGTGAGGTGTTTTGTATGAACAGTGCCCTTTTCATACAAATAAAATAAAAACCTAATTAGTAAACAACTTAGGACATAGGACCTGTAACCTTTAAAAATGACTTAAATTTCTTAACTTTTGTTCCAAAAAAGGCAATATTTTATGTGAAACAGGAATAAATAATTATGTTTAGGTGACGTAAGAAACAGAAGAAAGTTGTTTTGTTTTTCATGTCTTGCTGCTTTTCGAGTCAGACAGCCTAAGCATGCCCACTCATTAGGCAGGGCATGTGAAAAGTAAACACCCTGACTTGTAACCGCATCTTTTAACCTGTAGCATTTAAAAAAATACACTTGCTTATACACAAGAGACATAAGTAGATAAATGTAAGGATCTGCTTTTGAGCTACTCCCTTTCCTCTACATCTGCTTTTTGCTACCGGCGTCCCTCTGTGACAGTAAAAAAAAAAAAAAAAAAAAAAAAAAAAAAACATTCGAGAGACTCCAAAAGAGCAACTGTGAGAATATTACTAACAGGACTTTGGATAGGAGGCTTTTTTTTTTCTTTTAAAAACAAAAGGGAAAACCTAAATGCACGTACGTATTTTTTGAAGTTTTATTGTATGTTGTTAGATTTAGAATTAAATATATTTTGTTTCACTGAAAACAGTAACAAAAAACTAAAACTAAAAAAAATAATAATCCCAAGACTATGGATTCACCCCGACCCAAGGAAAATAAATAAAATGGAAAAACAAAACAAAAAGTAATGAAGATGAGTTTTGATCTTTAACATGTTAAACTTGAAACGTCCCCAACTAAAAGCTCTCTAAAAAGAGGTTTGTGGTTTTGTGATCAATCTCAGCAAATACTCACTATGAATTTGAATTTGCTCTCACTGTTGTCCCTTAAAATACCAAACATCTTTTTTGTGCGTATTTTCAAAAATGAAAAAAAAATGGTGAGATTGAATGGTGTATGCTTCTGAATTAAAATATAATTTATTTCCAGGCTTTTACACACATTTCCTAGATGTACCAATAAGTGTGAAGGCTGCTATAAATAAAGAAGGTATTTACCAAATGAGTTGCTTCACAGAGGTGCTGTATTTTACCGTGCACATAAACCTTTGCTCTAAAAATAAAAATAATTCATCTTGCTTGTAAATTAAATTAGTTTATTTTTAGTTCCCACGGTTAAGGCCGTAAGAAATTAAATTATCTTTACCTCAATTATCTACACAGATGCAACTTGTGAGTTTTGTTTTTTAATTTAATACACAAAAAAACTAAGGACATTAATTATGGTTTCCGTTCTCTATATAGAACTACACTATACATCTCACACTGCTAAAAATGGAAAAGGACAGGTCATTTACAAAAAAAATGTGACAGAAAGCATGTGGAAGATCAAAATAAAACTTGCACATGACCTTTCAAAAGAAAACAGGCAGCCCAGTAACTCAAAGTACTGTTCGCATGCTGTCTTTTTCTTGCCAAGGACTTAAAAAAAAAGGGTAGAGTGACTTTGGGTCTGCTGCAGCTCCCTGACAGTGAGGAGAAGCTTGTCCTTATCGGGTCTGCAGTTGGCCTTTGAGTTTGTGAAGGTGCCAGATAATGTCTCGTTCAATATCCTGCAGTTACTCTGGGTGACAAAGGCCAGGCCTTTGCACTGTCACAAGCTAAGCCTGTTGTCATCTGAAGCAAATCCCCAGATATCCTCGGTCTGCAAAACAACACGCACTTTTGTCGTCTTTTGTGGCTGTTTTATATCCACACTCCATCTCCCAGATCACGAGCAAGAAGCACGCTGAGCTAGAAGCAAACCATTTATGGGTGGTTTATTACCACTTGCCCATATTCTCCTCTACTACACTGCACATTTTGCTCAAGCTTGTTAAAACATTGATATTTTATTTTTCAAAGTTTTTTTTTTTTTTGTAGATGAGCTTCAAAAACTGCATATACAGTGAACATATTTGGCTGCCAGTGGACAGCCAAATATGCATCTTATACAGAGAAAAGCAGTAAAGCAAATTATTTGAAACTTGGATCAAAATCCACTGAATAATAAAGAAGAAATATTCAAGAAGTGCTTGGGAGCTTACTAAAATATTGATACCGTCAGGGATAAGGCTGTGCTCTGAAGAACACTGATTACAAGTGTTATTTATTTAGGACAGCTATCTACAGTTATACTCTGCTAAACTGACAGATTTCAGACCAACACCAGCATGTTATTAATTGTAGAAACCGTGTGTGAATATATTATTGCTTCCCAAAATCATGGCAGAAGCAAGCTTTTCTTTCTGCCTGGCTGAGATGTTGGATTAGATCAGCAGGATGTTGCTAAAACATAGACCTCTTCTCATGAATAATTTATACGTCTAGTGCTCATGAATCATGTATAGATTATCTAGTACATATTTTATTAATAGGATTGTCTTAATTGAGTTGCAGAGAATAAAGCAAGGATTAATCTCAGGATGAATATTAATGAAGTCCGTGGCAACGGAAAGTGTAACCAAAGAAATATTTCCTTTATAAATTCCAGATAAGATTCTAATCTAAATTTCTTTATTAAGAAACGTTGAGAAAATGTAAAGCACTGTGCTTACAAAAGTATTCACAACTAGCAAACTATTTCACATTTCGTCACGGTAGGACGAGCACCGACTGATTGTGGAGAGCCAGATAAAGAATGAACCAAACAAAATTGGACAGGAACACAAAACCAGAAGTGACAAAAGTCAAATAGTATTATGAAGTTTAAGAAACACACCCAACAGGTCAGTGATAAAGTTGTGGAGAAGTTTTAAACAAGATTAGATTATCCATCCCAAGCTTTGATCATTATCGAGAACTAGCTGCATCCAAAAAAAAAAAAAAAAACAATTTCAGGCATTACTGCAAATCTACCAGTCATGCAACTAAACTGACAGGCTGCAAAACATTAATGAGAGAAGAAGCCAAAAGGCTTATGGTAATTCTGGAGAAAATACAGAGGAGGGAGAATCTGTTCAACTATTAGCCATGCCCTCCACGAATCTGGT